TTTCTTCATGTCAATTTAGATTAATAAAATATACATAATTTTTGGAATATAGTTTAATGTCATGTAAATTAATAGAAAAAATAATTTTATCAATAAATTTGTAATGCGTATTATTTATAATAAAATAGAAGAAAAACATAAAAATGGAAAATTCTAAGGTAGTTTAATAACTAGTGTTATGAGCATAAAAATATAATAATAATAATAATAATAATAATAATAATAATAATAACAATAATAATAAATGAAAAACCTATCATTTTTAGAGTCATTATTTCGAAAGTAGAAAAAGATTGAAGAAAATGTGAATAGTTAAAAAACTGGAAAAAACTCAAAGAAACTGGAAGGAAACCTAGACGGAACTAGAAAAAATTCAAAAAAAATGAATAAAACCAAAATAAATTGGAAGTTAAGAGTTTAAGCTCTAAATATTAGTTGAAGTTCCTCTTTATTTACTCTATCTAATTTTTTAAGTAATTGCACTCCTTACACACACTTGTAAACACAAACACAATAATGATGAGAATGCAATATACTTTTAAATTTAATGTTCATAATGTGAACACAATATACTTTCATTCGGGTTCATAATGTGAGTGTAATGATTGAGTTTTTCGGTAAGTCAACCTTCCCAATGAAGGGTTAGTTTTCTCCGAATGTCGTGTCTCTCGAGGAGTAGACGAAGGGAATTAGCTAATTTTTCTAACTAAGCGAACGTTTGGACGAGTCTGAAAGTCTTCTCGATTTGATTTGAAAATAAAAATTAACTAAACTAATGGGTGCTTTTGAGAAAAAGAAAATAAATAGTATGGGTATAGGACTAGACTTCGGGCTAAGGCATCATCATCTGAGTTAACTACTGTTGTCACATATTTAATCAATAATTGGAATAATAATATTTCTGTCACAAATATTTCATTAACTTATCCTCTCTCAAGGAAACATTAATGTGTTCTAAAAAGTTTGGCTTAATTAATTTTATATCCTCATAGACAAGGCAAGAATTAATTTTCAATACTTAATTAATTTTTCTCTCGACATAATTGATTAATTTAACAATATAAATAATTCTAAAACAATTATTCCAACTATTAAATAAACATACAGAATATAAACCCAAATTTAGACAGGACCCTAATCCATGTCCTAACCCATACTAAATATTAAGAGTGCATGACAAAAGAAAATATTTTATTAAAATTGCAAGAATTAAAACTTACAACAGAGAGCAGAGTCGGAGCCACTTTGGAACAATCGGAACAAAACTAAACTAAAATATAAAAATATAACTGAGAAAAGAGTGAAGAATGGAATTCCAGGCCTTAAAGACCCGAAGGAGAGGATTGATTTGAATGGAGGGTTATGGAGGAGCGAAGCCTCCTTTTATAGGAGAAATTTTTGGTCCAAGCCTTAGACAGGCGTGGGCCTGAGGTGCAGGCGCGCCCCCAGAGAGGTAGTGTGGCTAATGTGTTGGTCTTGCAAATCAAAGGATTAGGGAGTATATTTCTTTTGTTTCTTCATGCGTAACTCCACAGCTCCTCTTGTGTATCTTTCTTTTTTTATTTATATGAAGATGGTGGTGGGGGAAAGCTGAAACATGACGCTACCCCACTTGCTGGCTGCTGCAGTTGGCCGGCCAGTCAGGTCGCACCACGTGGCAGCACCTGGTTGGCTGGATTTTGACTCGGTCCAAAAATATTTTCTAAAAATACAGTCTTGCTCAAAATTTTATTCTGAACAACTTTTTTTTCTGCGCCGACTTTAAATTCTGAACCAATTTGGGTCAAAGAAATTAATTTTGAATTGAATCAACATTTTTTAACTTTTTCTTTCCAAACAATTTCTTTTTGGTGCTTTTTCAATCTGTTTGACCTCAAATCTTTTGACGGGGCGCATCACCACAATTAAATATACATTTTTCACTTCATGGGTTTTCACCATCTTTTGCCTCTTTGCTCGTTGCATTCCATTTGCACAATCTTTTACCTTTTTGTACCACTTTTGACTTACTTTTTATTCTTTTTACAACAAGACATAACTTTTGTACACTTTTGCAATTATAAATAAAAGATAATAAAAACCATTGAGAAATTGATTTGTTTAATCCAAAATTAGACAATAACACATTAAATATAAAGAAGATAAGTGCGTGCAAAATGGACTTATCAAATTTTCCCACACTTAAGCGTTGCTTGCCCTCAAGCAACAGAGTACAACAACAAATGAAAGTTTGGATCAAACACTTATTTACAAAAATATTTTGGAAAAACTATTGACCACACTTTTAAACAATTTGTTACACAAAATTCTTTTACATTATTTAATCTTTACAAAAATAGAACTACTAGAAATAGCACCCTTTTTACAAAAAGTTAGCAAAATATTTTTATTTGTTTTTCTAAAAGATGCACATAAATTTATTTTATTGGCTAAATGTAAAAGTTCTCCATTTACAAACTTGGGTACTAAAGTCTAAAACAAAAGAATTGTAAGTGTTTTATAATAACTGCAAAATAATTTAAGGTCAAAAATATGTACATTGAAAAAAAAATGAAAATATTTTTTCTGAAAATAACATTTATTCCTATGCAATGAGTAAGTTTGGATTTTTTTGTAGAACTTCACTTTGTCATGTTGACACAAGCAAAAACTTTGATCCTCATTCCATGACATAGAACCACGAGCTTTTTGGATTTTTATTCACTCAAAAACCTCATCACACGACATAGAACCACATGCTTTTTGGCACTCACTTCAATATAAGTCTCATCATCTGACATAGAACCAAAATTCTTTTTTACTTTGAATTCACTCCAGAACTCGATCTCACCAAAGTGCGTTCTTTGATTTTTTTGTTCCAAAACTTACAATGCAATCATTGAAATATCAAATTTTCAGAAAAATATACTGCTCATACTCAATTTGAAGTAGCAAAACAGCATCATTTATATTCTAAAATAAATGACAAGTTACAAATGTTTGACCTTAACGTATTTTACAAGTTAATGTTTATACACTAAATCAATGATTTTATTTTCAACACATTAGTATCCAAATTTATTTATTTACAAAATGTATTAAAGTTAGCCAATAAAAAGATTATATGTGCAATTTAAAGAAAAATTTTAAAATTTTTGGCTAATTTTTTGCATAAGGGGGCTCTTAAAAATAATTCTACATATGAAAATAGTAAAAAGTGTAAAACAATTTTAAAAGTATCAATAGTGATAACTAGACCGATTCAGAGTATTCGGGATCGGGCAGAATGCTGCCAATTAGGTGCTCTTAGGCTCACCCGAATAAACCTTTCCACAGAATGACCCAATAGGAATGTGGGACAAGTTCGGCTCCCGAAGGCGTCACCCTTTGCATCTACTTAAGTACCATTCCAGCTTAGACAGTCATTCCGTACATGGTGTAGAGATCAATATTAATATACAAAATGCAACAAAGAGTATAAAAATATTTTCAAAAAAATTTTTCCAAAACAAATAAAAATATTCTGTACCAAACTCCAATCTCCCCAAACTTAGGGTTGACCTTGCCCTCGAGGTCATTAAGCGATAAAATCAAGAGTTTAGGACAAAGACAATTCTCATTTTTTTGAAAAGGTTTTTACAAAAAAATTTATGCACAAAAGTTAGTCATTTCTTTTTTTTGTTGAGTCAAAATGGTTCAGCAGCATTCCTAATTCCAAACTCCACCTGCACACATAAACACACAAAACGCGTAAAAAGGAAAAAGAAAAATAAAATAAAATTTATTCACTTGGGTTGCTTCCCAAGAAGCGCTTCTTTAACGTCACTAGCTTGACGTTAGTCCATTTTTTACGGGACTTACCGATCCGAGAGTCATAAAGTTTGACCTTTTTTACTCTCTTCTGATGCCACCTTTGTTTTATTTTTTTCCAGTCAAAGTCCATGATCTTTGACTCATTCCTGCAGCGTGGTGGCAACAGGAAAAATGGAGGAGACTCGTCTTGGATGGATGGTGGTGGGAGTCTCCTCGGTTTATCCACATCATTGGCCTTTAGTGCCTGGATCTGACTTTCCAAGTCTTCAATGGGCTGACTTTCAGTTGCTGGCTCGATGATTACAACATGTCCTTCCTCTGAGTCTTCAGTGATAGTTTCTATAGACGGAATGGGTTCAGCATCACAAGGTATTTTCTCGTCTATAGATTCGTCAAACTCATCAGTATCAGAATCAAGGGGGTCGGTGGTGGGCTCGGATTTCTCCATAACGGATAATGTGGTAAAAGGAATCCCTCCTCAAACAATTGGGTATGTCCAAACACCCACTCCAATGAGGAATCCTCAATCACAATCTTCATTCAAAATTGAAGCCAGCAAATGCAACAGATAGTCTATTTTGATTCAACGGATAGATTATCCAATCCAGCTATAAATAGCAACCTTGGAAGACTGGAGAATAAATAACAACGAGATAGACGAACACAACGAAACAATCTCTAATAACAAAGCTATCTCATTCACAGTTAGCCCAAAAAGCTTGATAAAGAGAGATTTCTAATACTCCTTATCCAGAAGCAAACTTCTCCTCCTTCCAAAGAGCTATAGTGTAAACACTTGAAGGTTTCCTTGCCTCAAGTACCACACCACGTTGAAGGATATAACTTTTGATCAAACTTCTTGATTAAAAGGGGGTAGATCAACTTTCTCACAAGTTGATCTTGCAGGTCCTATTGTTCGGATCTTGCAGTTGTTGAAGAAGCGTGACATTCGAAGGAACAACAAAGCCAGCATGAGTGCAGTAGCAACTTTGGCCTTGCGAAGATATACCGTGCAGAAATTCACACAAGTGTAATTGTTGGTTCTTTATTCAACAACCAACTACATAGTGGATTTTGAGGACGTAGAAGGATTACCCCACCTTCGAACCTCGTTAAAGTTTGCGTGTCTCTCTGTTTTATCTTTACTCTTACTTGCAATTATATTAACTGTGAAAACTAACCCATCCATATTGATTACTGCTCATACTACCCACCAAATTCTGCACACAATCTAAAGTTCCCAAGAACTCTAGATTTACACTATTTTCACGTTTTCAAAAGAAACGAAAAAGTTTTAAAATTGTAACAAAGTCTATTCACCCCCCCTCTAGACTTTGTATCTCACCACTTTGGGACCACCAATTGGTATCGGAGCCAACTTCTCACAATCTACATTTAGATTAACGAGAAGCGATCATAATGGTGAACAATATGGATCACGGTTTGCCCAAGTTTTCTCTTCTAGGTTATGATGATTGGAAGATCATGATGGAAGCACACCTTTACGCCCTACATGATTGCATGTGGATGGTGCTTGAGGATGGACCCTTGAAAATCCAAATGGAGAACCCTGAGAGGAATCCAGCCAATCCTGATGTTGTCCAGTACATTCCAAAGCTCAATGAGAAATGGGATGATAGAGATTGCAAAAAGCACAATCTGGATAACGTCGCCAAAGCAGCCATCTTCAAGACACTTGATCCCATCACCTTCTCCAAGATCAAGCATCTCAAGACTGCCACGGAGATTTGGCAAGGTCTTGGGAAGCTGTGTGAGGGATCGGAGGACCTGAGAAAGCAGAAGATAGAAGTCCTGCTTGAAAAGTTCAAAAGCTCCAAAATGCTTCCCGGAGAATCATTTGATATGTTGGATGAAAGATTCCACAAAATCTTAAATGATCTTGTATCACTTAACTGTTGGAAACGAGGCTTGGATAATGCAGCGGAAAACAAAAATTTATAGTCCAAAACTCGATTCCACCCAAGAACAACTTACGTAAATTACTAGCCATAGTAAGAAATTTACCTTAACGGTGAAAACGGAGAATGGAGGAACGGTCGCCCTACCAAAACTCCTCTACTTGCATCGCGGTTTGCATACTTCGGAGGTTGCATAGGTGTGCTTGAACGAGGCCTCAGGATCTAATTTGAACACGATCGTTCAAATTATATCCTATCATTTTTGATATTATTATGATGAAACCCTCATTATTTATATATCATTTTATAAATAGAATATTTATAAAGTTTATAATATTTTGTGTATATTTCTAACACTTTAGAAAAATAACTTTTAACACAAAATAATAATTTTCTCCTCTCTCTCTCTATATGGCCGAAAATCACACACATAAATGGGGAGGGATTTTTCTCATTTTATAACATAATATATTAAGAAATTTCTAGGAATTTGCTTTGGGACAAAACAAAATGAGATTAGTGTAATGTCCCCAACCAACACAACAAGACAAGTATACTTTTGTTAATCAAATATTTGATTATAAAATCAAATATATCATTAGGTGGAATATCAAAATATGTTTTGTATTTTTTCCCTTAGAATTTCGGCCATAGCATATTAAAATAAATTACATTTTATTTTTGCATCAACAATTATCATATAATTAAAATGATGAAAATAAAAGTTTTATATATATATATATATGTATATATATATATATATATGTATGTATATATATATATGTATATATATATATATATAAAATGGTTTTAGAGAGAGGTTGGAGAGCTCCTCCACCGGCGACGATCTTGTACCCAGGACATTTCTCAGCACCGCCATTCAGAAAGAAGCTACAAGGTCCTAGCCCTGATCACCCCTCTTCGTCTTCCGCTAAGCACGCTCTCAACGGAGTCGCAACCCTACCCCGGTCAATCATCCATGAAGTCAGATCAGAATCCGATGGAATTCTCCACCTCCACCCTACGCCGGTCATTATGGACCTGGGAATTCAAAATCCCTTATCAGAGATGCAAGAGAGAGATACACCTGCAGATCCTTTGAAGTTCAGAATCGAAGGTAAGATTTTCTCTTTGTCTCTCTCGAGATTCAACAAGAAACTATGCATTATTGAATTTCATGGGAAGAAACGATTCAATATCTGGTTGGGCTTAGATCTCTGCTCCTGGCTACTAGAATCCCTAAATCAATTTACCCAAGGATCTTTAAATTCAGTGGCTAAGAGGGAACAGAGTAGATCCATTTCTTTTAGTTTCCATTCTCATAGAACCAGGAACTTCATTAAGCTATGTGAGCATCATAGAGATGGCAGGACCTGGATCTTCATCCCCGAAGGCAACCAAGGCAACGGAATCAACTCTTTCACCCACTGCTTCAAAAGAGCCTATGACATTCTTAAATCTTCCACCCCCCTGCCCCAACCTTTCACAGATATGGCCATTATCTGCTCTCAAAAATCACTGCCCTCACAATCCCAAGCTCCTTCTATTTCTCAGAGCCTTCTCAGCTTGGAGATTCCGTTAGATACCCTCTACAACCCAATTGAAGCCTTTAACACCTTCGAAGCTTACACCAGTGTCTTCTCACTTAGCACCTGCTGTTTCAAAATCCCCCTCTACCCACTTGACCATCCCAGCCCAAACGTCACCTCTTTCCGCATTAGCCGCAGCTTTTGTTCCCCTACACACACACCTTGATACCCCTACAGTGGCTCCCTACTTCCTTGGTTGTTCCAATTCAGACAATGAGCTAGAAAGCCCACATTGGAATGTAAACTACAACTCCGATCATGAGATCCAACCCTTGGGTAATCCCCTTCTTACACCATCAGAGGAATCAGAGGAGGATTGGATCACGGATAGAGGTTCTGAAGAGGAGGAAAAGTGGCATGAGAACGAAGAAGCAATCAAGAAAAGAAACCAAAGGAATTTCGACAAACTTTGCCATAAGCTACATGATTCTTCTCGTCCTCGTAGAAGTAAGAGGCTCTCGGATCTAAGAGCAAAGCTTACTCATGAAAAAAGCATGCTTTTTTGAGATTCTTAATCTGATTTCTCTTTTACAATTGTTTATGATTTTCTTTCCCACAGAGGCTGATAGTGAATTCAACTATTCAAGGTTTAGCATTTAGTGGCACCTTCTGCCAATTCAAGAGCATCTCCTTTACATTTGTTAACTAAGCATTTTATCTAGGCCTTTCATACAAATCAGGTTATCGGCTTACTGGGCACCTTAGAGCATATGTGCATATAAGTCTCTCAAGGCCCTGGGCAGTAGCATGACTCAATCTGCAGATTTTGTGACTTTCTTTCTACACTCCATGTACTGCACACATCAACATTAAGTCATGGAAAGTAATTACCTCAATTGTTGCATATGGGATTCCCCTCAAAGGATATGGACAAGTACAACAGAAAAGTGGCAAGACTGGTGAACCCCACTTCTGTCCAGTTTCTATTCTTGTAGTTTTGTTTGTTGTTTTGGCACTTTTATTTCCTAGTTGATGTGAGTATTTAGGCCTTGTAGGGGTCCGGCCAACCCCCCTTCTTTGTACTTTCTTTTTTTCTTTCTTTCTCTTTCAATAAAAATAATCCTTTAATAAAAAAATGTATATGTAAATATATATATATATATATATATATATATATATCGGCGCTATATATATATATATATATATATATATATATATATATATAATAAAATTTGTTTTGTCAAAATATAATTATCATATAATTAAAATGACACAAACAAAATATAATTTTAAAATACATATGTATTTTCGAAATACATATATATATATAAAATTATCACAACTATATATTTAATATTACTCCCACTAGTGTAGTATATTACTCCCTTACAAGTCCTAAGTGTGTGACCCTTTAGGTATCCATAACACTGGCAATAATATTAATAAAATTAATACCATAGATAATAAGCGGTATCTAGCAACACATTATTACCCCCAGATTATGAAAAAGACATTCATCTCATCAATACCTTCTACGACACAAGACATTTTATAACTATTATCCTTCTGTCCTAAATGTCATGATTTAACACAAGGCATGAGATGTGTATCCTTGTATAGTTAAATCAGCTGTTACTGAATCTCAAGTAGACTGGCAGGGATCAAATATTTATCAGTCTTTAGATAGCGACATATCTGGGCATGGCCATGCACTTTCCCAAGTCCTACTATTCAGTGGGCCCATTGACATTATACTTCTATACAGTAGAAGGGACAGATCCTGTATCTGTTATTCACATCTCTAAATATGCTTAGCGGCATACCCAACGCATAACTGTACGTCTACCAGTATTTCAGATAGCATTAGTTATGAATCAAAGCATACGGCCCCACATATCAGA